AGAGAGAGAGAGAGACAGAGAGAGAGACAGACAGAGACAGAGAGACAGAGAGAGAGACAGAGAGAGAGACAGAGACAGAGAGAGAGACAGAGACAGAGACAGAGAGGTTGAACTGTCAATGTGAGTCCACATAGCAAACTATACCCTAATGAAAGCCATAAAGGCAAACTATAAGCAATAACAGTCCATTTCAATTCATTGTGCTTAATATTGCCCCACAAGGTCTTGCGGGTTAGTGCAACACACAGTTAAACAGTTGTTGACCTCCAGTAGCACAGCGGAGCAGTTTCACTGTGAATAGTCTGCAGGCGAACTGTAGGGGAACCAGGTTGCTGTCTGCCGACCAATAGAGCATAAATTCGTTGCTACGTTCTGTAGCTGATCCTGCGATCTCTACCTCCAGGATGGCGGCTATTAATTGAAAAAAAAAAAAAAAAAAAAAACGAAGTTCCTATATAGCAAACAATGCATTTTCACATTAGAAGGCAAACATCTCCATTTAGCACAAACAGTGGCTGCTGGGAGGTGACTTCCTCTGCACAGTGGCTGCCTAGTCCCAACAAGAACACGTGTGCTGTTATGCAGACATGCCACCAGGCGGACAGAGCATGGAAAAACACGTTTACGCTTCAGTCACACATCAAGTGAAGTTCATCGTACAGCAGATTGAATTCCTCGGTGAAATGTACTCATGTTCAAACACTGTGAGCAGAAAACCGTCAGCTGCTTCGGCAGACAGCCTACTAGGAGTTTCTGATGGAAATCACTCGCATGTTTGTCTTCAAACAGTCAGGTAGGAAGACAAGTCTTCCGTGTGATGAAAGAGTTCCCACACGTGGGTATAAAACCTACAGAGAGCTCGCTGATGTGTGTGTGTTGGTGGAACTCCTACATATAGCAGCAAAGTGTTAGCATCACCTCCAGTGACTAACTGGCTGGGTGGGAGCAGAACAAGCACCTGGTTACAACTCAACTGAATACTCTCCGGCACGAAGCTTAGCCGACTAAATATGGGGTGAATGCACGAAGTAACATCGTGCCATAGCAGCTCGTTATTCTATTCAGCTGTCTCAAAGCTTCAGTAGCCTCCCTTTGTGTGCTTGAGGATGTTTTTATCAGCTTTTTTTCATGACAATGATTATTTTTAGACTGATATATCTTACACGGATAAGTAAAAAGACAGCAAAAAACTGCAGCACTAGTGTAGATTTGAATTGACTTAGAGGTGACAGATTTCAACTTCTTCTTTTGATTTTCATGTCACACTTCTTTTTTTTTTTTTTTTTTTTACAGGAATATGATATGTCTGCATAAGTCCACTGATATTTTTTGCCGCTGCTGCTTTGGCAATATTTTTTTTCCACAGAGTGTGCTTTCAACGAGAGAAGAGCTTAGTGCTGGAGTAAACCACGAGTAAATATGACAAGCCAGTAGAAGCAACTATATCACAAACTGAGAGGAGCAACGACACCCACGACCAAAGCGACCACACGCACCTGCCGCTACAATGTACCGCTCCTAGAAACCGGCACACGGCTTCCTTTGTGTGCACAAATGTAATTATGCAAGAGGGGAACTGAGCTGCACTGACAGGTGCAGATAGATGGCAAAATAGCACGAAAAGAAAAGAAAAAAAGATAAAACGAAAGTCACTTTGACAACGTGCAGCTCAAAGCCTTTTGAAGTGAGTCTTGAAACAGAGCCAGCACCCAATGAATCCTAAGATAGCTGGTTTAGGGCTGCAGCACCTATAACATCACAGGAGGAGAGGGCAAAAACGCTACGTATGACACTGCAAGGCTGTAAAATACACAGATTATACTCACTGCAAATGCTTAAGTCTACATTATTAGAAAGATAGAGGAAACAGAGCTCAAAATAAAAACAAAAAAAGTCTGTTAGAGTCGAGTCTTGACAGCGGATGGATTATTTCTATCCTCTCTCTCCTTTGTAGACCTCGATTATGCCGAACAGTCCCGGTGCTCAGGGACAGAAGAGATGATGTGACTTATACTTTACACATTCAGACCCACGAGCCGCTGATTTGACGAAGGAGGTGTCAGGGACAGTGAGAGTGTTATTTCAATGCACTTGTGCCCTCTCTTTTGCCTCACACTTTAGCAGATGATTACATCATCGTGGACCGATTGTTCAGGCTGAATAGCAAACAGTAAAGTACTGACAAGGGAAAACAAATACCAAAAGAAATATGCTTCCTGGGAGCAAACATGCTGTATGCCAGAAGTCACTACTGAACCCTGTGCGCCCGATGTAAAAAGAAACGATCAAAAGAAAAACACTATAGATTGGTAAGGAAAAAATGAGTACAGGATACATATTTTATTTAGATTAGAGTTTAACTTTTTAAATCTCTTGTATGTAATGTGTATGGGATTACCGACCCCTCCCTTCTTTTAGAAGAGCATCAGTTTTGCAATGAGGCCGTTGCTGGAGGTTCTATTTTGAGATGCATTACGCTCACAGAAAAACTAAACTGCTAAATAATTGAGATGAAGCCTCTATCATAGCCTAAACTGAGCCATCCACTAGCTCATCGTGGCCTGAGATCATCAGGGGGGGGGGGGGGGGGGTCACCCTGTGCATGATGTCAGGACACTGAACTTCCTGTCAAGGTTTTATAGCTTCACGGTGGGGAGAGTTTTACAAGAAGGCATTTTGTGAAACTGTGTCATTGGAGGAGCCTCTGCGCCAGATGCCAGCATGGTATAAATAAATCTGTTTTGTTTCTTGATTACCATAAGAACAGGAACAATCTTCATTCTACTGTATATATATGTGGATTTCTACAGTGTCCCTCATGCTGTCAAAGCTGCAGCGTGATGCTTAATAATTCATCATACATATCATTTTTGGCAGCAAACACCAGTGGGGGCACCTGTTCTTAAGATGGCTTATAAAGACCCAACACTTCCTTTCCTGTGAAAGCTTCTCAAATGAATGCAGAGTACAGTCAGCCAATGCTGTAATTCTAACAGTCCCAGACAGTCAGACTGGCAGCAGTATGAACATCTAAGGCATCAGCCTGTCTCTCATTTCTGTACACTTGGCACAGCAGAGCACGAACACTGTAGACAGCAGTGCTAAAAACAAAAAATTGTTTTTAAAACACTCAATGGTAGCCCACAGTGAGGGGCACGACTCACCGGGCTCACAAGATGCCCAACAGTCCATGCAAGGGCGGGTTGCAGACGTACCGTGAGTCTCCCCCTCCATCCTGGTGGTCCTGATGCTGCTGCTGCAGGCGTCGCAGCCCGGGGAGGTCTCTCGCCAAGCCGCCCGCAGCGATCTTCTCTTCCGTTCCGCTCTCTTCTTCGCTCAACTTCCAAGATCTCCACTTGACTGCGGGCTCTCTGGATACCCTGACGTACTCCAGAGGTGCTACTTTTCACCTTGTTGCAGGCTCCGCTCGTCCCTAAGCTGCCTTTTTTTTTTTTTTTAAATGTTTTCGGTGTTGGCTGGCTGCGTGATACGCATCCGGAGAAGCCCGGTGCACATGTTAGCCCCGCCCACCCCAGGTGTGACGTCACTGTCTAACTTCTCTGACCCAACAACTTAGATGAACACTTCTCATTTATGTTTGTATACGTGCTGATATTGTTTACCGGAATATTTTTGGTATAATATCCTGGTAAAAAGAAACTAACTTTGTAGAACACTGGTATTATGTAATTTACTATAGAGAGACATTGCTCATTAGAATTACAATTAAAAAAAAAATGAATTTATAAGGTGTGAAAAAAGTGTTAGTTTAAAGCCTAACATTTTCGTTTTAAGACAATTTTAAACATAAAAAAAACATTATTTTTTGCCCTCAAAGTCCACTTTAAATTTAAAAAAGCCCCCAAAAATTGGTGCTGCTTTTCTTTAAACCTGCAATAACATTTTTCTGGCCACTTGGGGGAAGCAGAAGCAAGCTGTGAACACCACATTCCATCACCTTTACAGTTGTTGTTGCCAGCTTGTAAGCAAACAAGTTTAGCAGCTGTGTAGCAACATTATCTTTCATTTGGAGTCAAGGTTCTGACCACTGGTGAAATTAAAGTCCAATATTCACTCCATTAGCGCCGCTTGTGGTCTCCACCATCAGCCGAGGGAAATATCTGGCTAGTAAACTGCTCAACGCTCCACTATGTTCACCGGCTAATCACCAACTGCATCAGTCTGCTGTTTGATGCCGAGTAGATGGTGTAACAGCTGTCTGCTGTGTTCGAAAACACTATTTGAGTTGTGAGACAGACGGCTATAAGCAATGAGCTGAAACTCACAACAAAGGTCCGTACAGCCGAGAGGGGAGCGGCAGATTCTGCCGATACTGCTGTCGGTTCATCACTACTTCAATGGACCCCTTTCACATTAGAATTGTGATAAGAAAAATATTGATTGCAGCTGCTTTAAAGTGTTTGTGTCTCTTGGTCTCTGACTAATCTGTGATGTCACAGCGAGTGTTTATGACATCACTGAACCCATAGACAGCAGTGCAGCGAGATTTTAGCCTTTGTATGAATCAGCTTTTGTTGTTTAAATGCGACATAAGTCTGTTACAGTCTCAATAATAAATGCATGTATGATTGGCCTCCCCGCTAAATCACAGTACGAGTGAACACATGCGAGTTAGCTGATCATTCTCATCGGGTGTTGATAAAATATCACATTCCTTTCTACAGTTATAAAGGCTATCGTAACTACACGATATCAAAATACAAGAAAAACACACAGCAGTAGAGGACAGAATAACACACACTCAGCTCACAAAAGTCACAACTTTATTGCACCTTTATAGTCAACTATAGAGTGGTAAGAGCCACTTTCATTATGAAAGATCCCTTCCCTGGTCAGAAAAGGTGGTGCAAAAAAATGTAGAGCCATCAATGCAAACGTGAACCGTCCATTCACACCGATAAATGTTCCTCTACGTCGTCAGGTTTTGAGAGTCAGATGTCAGATTTCACAGCCTCACAAAACACGTTCTATGGAAATTAGACGGCCCCAGTCCCTCCGGTACTGTACACACTACGGTGACGTAGGGAAGCTCCTGCACGGAGACAGAACACTCTCTTACAAACAAGTGATCGAACACATTTGCAGATTAATTCTCAAGTTAACATCCACCAACTGATCCGAGTATTAGTAGCACATTAAAGATCAGTTCTTTAAATTATATATTTATAACATTAAATCCTAGACTTGTTTTTGTTTAATAGCCAATTCAAGGCAACATCTCTAGAATGAAAAGAAATGCGTGGGCACATCTTTACAGCGCTGGAGGGGGGGGAACGGGTAGCACAAGATGGACTGTACAGGCTTCTACGCTGGCAAAGCATTTTGTCATAACATTAGTTTCTCTACGCATCTGTGCCCGGACTGGTGCAGGATGATCCCATGGTGTCCGCACCCGAAATGCTTTTGTATAAAAAAGTTTCTACAGGATGTACAGGATGCAAAATGTCGGTCCTGGGAGAAGGGACTACTTTCTGATATGAAACAGGGGGGGGGGGGTCTGATCGTTGATGAAGATGGGATACAGGATGCCTGGGTTCCTGAGTCTTAGCCCAGTTTCTAGGTGACCAGCATGAGCATCACAAAATTGCATAGAGATATAAGATACATGGGGGGGGGGGAATGATTGGCATTGTGGCAGTCCCATCCCAACACAGTGCCCTGAAGTATAAAATGTAACCCCTCTATTTCAGTACATTGACGAGGAACAGTTTGTGAACGGTCAAATCTCCACACAGAGCTTCTGAACGCTGGACCGAGGAGGCGAGCTACATTATCAAATAGCTGCACAGTAGAAAACAAGCGCTCCCGTCGAGAGTTTCTCCCAACAACCCCAGCGGTGCACGATGCACTACGAACATTAACTTCCAGGTAAACAGAGAGAAACGTCCATTGTGTTCGATGTCAACACTTGCACAGACAATACAATTCGGCAGAGCATTCTTTTGCGGTCTAAAATGTGAAATTAACTGAATTTGTTCAGGCGCAAAAAGGGTCGTAACTAAAAGAAAGCAAAAATAAAAACAAAACTCAAAGTCATATTTTTTAACCAATTTAGACATGCATCTTTAGAAAGAAAAGTGGCATTTTAAAGCTTAATTCTACCAACAATATGAAGGTAAAATTTAAAAACAAGCCACGTGGCACAGACACTGCAGCAAAATAAAAACATAGCCGATAAAGGTATAAAATAGGAAAATCAGTAATCTAAAATAACATATGTTCTAATGATTAAATGATTTTTTTTTTCTTTGTAATTTGGTGTAGAATCATTTCAGGAGAAGGTTAAAAAAAAAGTTTTGTAAAATGTCAAATTAACTGAGCCCTTAAGTCTGCAGAAGTCTGCTCTGAGATTGTGTACAGTTTCAAATACAAGACAGTCGAAGATATTGCAGATATACTTTCTCATTATTAGCCCACCCATAAATGGTTCACTGTATATCACTTCATAGCTCAAGATCGTTGGGGCAATAACCAAGGCTGCCAACGTATATTCATTTGACATGGGGGTTTCAGTTAAATATTGCATGCGTAGAGAAGCTCGAGCCGTCTCCTCTGGTGTTCGGATTAACGGGAACACTGAAGCCGGAAGAAAAAGTTTCATGTTTGTTTCAAATTGAGATAAAAGGGGCTGTCCGACTGTCAACGTGCTGCTTTTGAACTTGTATCGTATTCAGGAATTTGGGACTCGACAAGACGGAGAAATAAAACTAAAAGGAGAGAGAAAAAAAAAAAAAAAAAAAAAAGGTACAAACATTTGGTATACAGTATTGTTGTCTCTATTTCCAAATCAGCACAACCTCAACAGCAATCTGGATTCTCATCGGCGGACTCCGAAGCCCCTCTTTCCTCCAGGTGTTACAGACCACTTGCTCCGCCGGTCCTGGACCTTCTGGAAGATGCTGCCGCCACTTCTCCACTTCTCCTTCTTATAGTTTTTCATTTTCTTTACCTGTTCATTTGTACAAAAACAGAAGTTGAAGACGAGGGGGCGGTGACAATGGGCCTAAAGTTCAGCAGACCTAAAGAACAACTGATTTAAGATGACATTCTTATCCATATTTCCCCGCCTCACCTTTCCCCTGTCAAAGTCTTCATCCCACTCGTCGATCACAGTGTCACACTTGGCGTGGCGGACGTCTTCAGCTGCATCTCTACTGATAGCAGAGACCTCTCCATCCCAACTGAGGACTAGATAAGACAAACAAAACCCATCAAATGCATCTTTTTGGCTACAAATTGTCAAAGCATTGCTGTACAACAGATCAGATTCACACTCTGTCTCACCGTTGGCGCCGTAGGCCTTATCTGTGGCGTTCTTGAGCAGCTCCTCCACCACCCCGCTCGTCTTTTTCCCGTCCCAGGCTACCGGAGCAGCTCGGGTCGGGGTGTCTCCTACTTCACTCCCATCAGCCGCCGGCACCTGGCTGCGTTTGTAGCCGTCCTTTACGTGCCTGTCCCAAACTATCACCGTGGCTGGATTGAGAAAACAATAAAAAAAAAAAAAACATATAAAGAGTGATGAAATCTGCCAGTATAAATGCAGTATGTCATGCTCTCTTGGTGTAGTTGTGAAATGAATGGTCACATTAATGCGGCTGTAGTGGTGCAGCATGTTCTTAACTGTACAGTGTGTGCACGTTGACATACGTTTACTTGTTTCGCCGTTCTCCGTGGCGTTCTTTTTGGAAGGGGGCTCCGCTGTGTCGGGCTCGTCGTTCTGCCCGTCCGAGCATCGCCGGCTCTCCTCCCACAGTCCAACCTCTTCTTTTAGCCTCTTCTTCCTCTTCTTCTTCTTCACCTTTAATTTCTTTTTCAATGTTACCAAATCCCCCGTATCATTCTGAACGACCGCAACCTTCAGCTCAGAAGTGCTATTGGGAGAAAGCTCAGTTAATTTATTGCACCGTTAAGAGTTTCTAGACTCAACTGGCTGTTACACAAACAGTTATACGTCTCCTCTTCCAGATTATGAGCTCAAAATTCATTTCCGGCAGCACTTTTTGGACAAAAATAAATGAATATTGGAAACAAAAACAGACCTGCATCACTACAACAATGCTACACTTCAACCCACCTCTCTGGTGCAGAGCATGCCGACGTCACCCGCAGAGCCTCCACCATCTGCTTTTTCTTCTTCTTCAACTTCACAGCTTTCCTTCCCTGTTCTTTGTGATTCGACTCGCACTGCGTCGGGGTCGTGGCAGCTGGCTGAGGCGTTTGCTTCGACTGTTCTGTATCCGGATGGGACGTGAGACTCCACATGCCGCCCTGACACCAATCCTCTTCCTGGTTCGACGTGTCCAGGTGAGACGGCACGCACTCCCTTTCCTTAACCGCCTCTCCGTGCTCCTTCTTTCGCTTTTTCTTCTTCTTCTTGCGCTTCTTCTCACCGGCTGACTCCACAGGGTCGTTCTGCGGCACTGTAGCCGGGGAGGCCACTGGCTCTGCGTCGCCCTCCACCTCAGAATGCCGCCGCTTCTTCTTCTTCTTCTTCTTTTGGTTGACCTTTTGAGCCGGAGTGCCGTTGAGGTCTGGTTCTTGGGCCAAGGAGCCGAGGCCGTTGGAAGACTTGGGGCTCTTTGGGCTGTGAAGCCCGTTGGTTTTAAGAGAAAGGCTGGCGTTTGGTTTCTGCAGTGTGGAGGGAAGGGACTGTTTCTGAGGGCTCTGCTGTTTGAAGGATCCACTAAAGTGGGCAAAAGGCGATGACTGGACTTTAGGTGAATGGAATGGACCAGCTCTGAGAAGACAACAGAAGAAAAACATCTGGATTTGCCTTTGAGGAAGACAAACCTGGATCTCTTGTGCATTTTCCTATGTGATGCTCATACCTGTGAGTGTGAGAAGGTGAGGCGAAGGTGAAGGGGTTAAGTTGATTTTGATGCGTGGGGTCACTGGACAGCTGGCGTGGCGAAGAGGGCGGAGCATCAATGCTGCTCGGTCTCCGGCTGCGAGCCTGCAGTTATCGACATAAATAAAAACTTGGTGGTCTAAAAAAAATAGCCATGAATGTGACAAAAATAAGGAAGAGAATCAAATGAGGAAGATTTAAAAAAAAAAAGGGGGATGGCAGGAAAAGATGGAGGGAGGAAAACAAAAAGGAAAGGGTATGGCAAGAGAAGAATTAGAAATGGTTAGAAAAAAAGAACAAACTGAAGGAAAAGACGACAAACTCTAAACAAGTGCTACCATGTGGTCGATTAGACAGCAACACTGGATAAATTACACGTTACATACAGCAGTAAATCTACTAGAAAAGGAGAGTTTACTTGCCTTAATAAAACTACTTATTGAAATCAAGGGTCAAATTTGGGATAGCAGTGTAGAGTGTCAACAGGAAACCAAGGTATCATGAGCTTTCACTAAGACAGGAGGTGCTGCTGCTGCGGATGGGAATGAAGTTCACCTTCTTGGCTGACAGGGCCAGCTTCTTGGCAGGTGGCGGCGACATGGTGCTGGTGGCTTCCGACGCGATGTTGTTGAGAGCCGGGGTTTTGATTTTCGCCGTCCTCTGCTCCTCCGTGCTCTGAGAGCGCTCCACGCTCTTGGCTGGAGACGCCGGGCCATGCGAGCCTTTCCGCGGGGTGGAGGGAGTCTCTCCGACCGGCGCACTTCTGGTACCCACGGAGTCCTGGCCGAGACACAAAGTCAAGCATGCTGTGGTTACGCTTCTGGGTCAGCTACACCTGGCCCGATCAGCCACTATGCATCTTCTTAAACTCCAGTAAATAAATCTGCTGTAATGACGCATTCAACACATACTATTCTATTCTTAGATGATCCTGCCTTTGAACCAAGATTGGTATTTGTAATGTTACCTTTGAGTCGGAGTTGTCAGCAGAGGAGGAGTCAGACAAAGACTTAAATGAGGTAGACGCCGACATGCCCCTGCCCTCGCCGCCTTGCTTTTTATCTCCCTCAGCCCGGCTGAGCCCGTTGTTGGAAGGGGTCGGGGTGATGCTGCGGGACTGCACTTGGCTCTGGGGAGACGGCTTCTTCAGCTTCTTGAAAGGCTCCTCGATAACCGTGGGCCCACCCGGCTGCTTTGGGGGCCCATTGGAGGACGGCATCCAGTTGGACAGTCTGGGCTGTGGCTGAGAGCTCACACCGTTCCTGGAAATGGGCAGACCCAAACCACTGTCCATGGACTGGATCTTACGCAGCTGTGCAGGCTCCAGTTTCTGAAAAAGAGTCGTGTTGTAATCAGAACATGCCCATATTCTAGTACACGTGTCCACCAGTGAGCAGGACGCCATCTTGTGTAAAACCTTCGTGATCTGCGGGGAGGACAGAGGCCCGTTCAGGTTGGCCCTCCTTATCTGCTCAGACGACACACTGTTCTTCCCAGGATGCAACATCGCCTGCTTGGTCGTCTGTCCGTCTGCGTTCTTCCTGCTCTCGGGGATCCTTTAATACACAAATACAGACTCTGCTTTATTTAATTATAAATCCAGACAACACCTGGTTTGATCTCTGGCAGCCATCCACGGTGTCTTACCTCAGGTAGAAAAGCACGTACGCCTGCTGGTTCAAGACCACTTTGATGTTACTGGAGTGCACCATCGAATCGTTCATTTGGTACCACTGGCCGTTGCTCGCCTGAGAACAAACAAGGAAGAGATACAACTTTAAAACGGAGCCGGCTGTGAAATGTATTCATCTACTCATTATTCGACATGTAATTATCCCTGTAATTATAATCCACCAGGTAGAATGGAAGGAAGTTTAAAGTAATTTATCGTTAAATACATTTACTCTGACGATTATCGAGCCTCCTCTGTGTTATATTTGCCTATAATATGTTCACGTCTTTGTTTTTATTTGACTTTGTTGTCCGTTAATCTCATGTTTCTGACCTCATCTCGTCTCAAGGCGTTTTCCCTCAGATTTCGACAATAATAAATAAAGAACGGATGTGCATCTGCTCGTCTTACCTTGACGTAGCAGTAGTAGTGGCCAGCATGACAGCTGTAGCCAGAGTGGACCAGAACAGCGTAGAGGCCGTACATAACGGGATCGCCTGAGCTCTGCGACATGTAGGGGCGGATGTTCAGGAACTCTGGGTAACCAACATCCTGAAAACGACAAGACAGAAATATGAGCTCGCTGAAAAATCCCACCGCTCTTTCAAAAAAAAAAAAAAACAGTCGATACTGTGAGAACTCTGTGTTCACCTTTGTTATCTTTCCTCCGCTGAAGTTGGCGAACCTCTTGAGCGAAAGAGTCAGTACGTTAGACGTTCGATGGACTGTGAAGCGCTTGGTCGCTGGCACTTTCTTTTTGCACCTGGCGAGAGAAAAAAAAAAAAAAAAAAAGAGGATAAAACATGCGTTTTAATGCCCTGTAGATTTACTTAAAAACATAGGATGCTGTCAGAATAGATGAAACGCACTTACTTGGCACACATGTAGGCATTCTCTCCACAAAGCACGTCTGGTTTAACAAACAGTTCCAGGGCTCGCACAATGTTTGCTGCTTGCTGACAGACAAAAACAGCGAGATACAAGGTGTTGCTGAGGCACGTTTAAAAAATATATATATATATATATATTTATATAATTTATATTGAGGTCTTGAGTAACGTACTCGAATCTCCAAAGCGATGTCCAGGTAAGGGTCATATGTGTCTGACACACTTTTACAAATAGAGCACTTCACTGAAAGACACAATTAAAAACAAATGTGATTCTCTAATCCTGAAGAAATACAACGTCAATGTCACCGGGTGATCAGCGATCACAGGAACGTTTCACCCGCCTCCGTTCCATTTCCTGTAAACAGAAGACTATCAAGAACCTCAAACCAACGGCCTCTTGCTCTCAGATCAAACATTCAGGGGAAACACCTTTTCATTCAGCTCTCTGCTCAATATTTACATTTCAGATGTGACGGTTACAAGTTACTCAACCAGATGACAATACGCTTTATACCAAACTGCATCTTACAAACCGTTTTCTGATTAAACTTAAGGTCACTAAGCACTGTAAGGAACATTAGTCAATTCTATTCAATAGCTGAAATGTCTATGGATGTCGAGTAGCTTTCCTAATACTTTTCAATTTGAATCAAAATGAGAAAAACAAGGCATTTAACTTGTCCTTTTTAAGGATTAATGAAATCTCCTTTTGCTCTCAAATAACCTCTTAGCATCAGTAACAGACTACTACTTTGGCTGTGCATGTGTGGACGCAGTATTGACCTACATCAAGCTGCGTTAATGTTTGTTGACACTGTCATTAGTCTACTCTGATGGGTAATGGATCAACATGCAATCCCAAAAGCAACCAATGTGGACATTCAACAAAAACGAGCACAGTTCTGGAGGCAACATTTTTCCTGCTTTCTCTCTGTGTAAAAACAGTCAATACCTCTGGACCTGAGGTAGCCTCCAAAGATCTGGTGAACCAGCGTTGTGGCCTGGGTCTGCCTGTCGAGCCTACAGACGGGAAGGAAGAAGAAAATCAGAAAAACAGAGACATCGATCCATTTTCTGTGCTTATCCGGGGGGCCTGATGTCCAACTTCTCACTAGTGGACAAAGAGAAAAAGAGATTCTCATACTATCAACACTATTAAGAAACAATAACAAAGCCTTACTTAGGGTAGCCATTGAGACAGGCTTTCTGCATGGCATCGATGGTGTACCGCAAAAATTCATGGGCGTCCTCTTGGCTTCCAAAGCGAAAATGTCTGGCAATTTCTAAGGGAGACAAAAGAGTCGATGTTAGCTTTGTGCTAATTTCCAACATTGCACATGTTGTAAAGCAATAATTAGCGAAGACAATTTAAGTAATGCGTTTGTGAAGTTTAAAAGAGTGTGCTTCACTTGGCACTCATGCAGCTCATGAGCAGCGTGCAGTCACTTCGTGACTTCATCTAAAAGCCTCGCGTTAGAGATACTGTAGCATCTAAACCCTTTCTGCCTCTGCTGTTATTTCCTAATGGGAAGATGGGAAAGTGTGAGCTGGAAGAATAATGTGGTCATCCCCACATTCCCGGCATTGCATCCCTGCGCATTTAAGACGATGAGTCACCCGTGACTGGGAAAGAGAAATAACACACCGTCCTCTAATGATCTGTTCAGGTCTCTTCTCAGAGAGGGGGGAGACAACATCTTGAAGGCATCAACTCAGCTGGCATACGACTGGGTGTTGTTTTGTTTGTGAGAGCCTGGGGCGATTTGAGAGATAATTTGCCGTAAGCTCTTTTTATTTTACTGTGACGACACTGCGCTGCATTTGTAATTCTGTAGGAGGCGTGCTGAGCGAGAGGCACAGATGCTGTATTTTCATTATACGCATTTACGTTGTTCTCGCCGTGGAGGGGCAGTTCTGACTGCTGCGGTGGCCACCGGCTCGCTGAATGTATATAGAAACCGTAAACACACAATACAGTGCATCTCTCAGTCCTGGTTCCAAGGAGGGGAAAGCTGGACTGTACAGTTTTTGTGCTAAAGCTGCTCGTCTCAGCCCGCATTCACAAGGAGACAGAGAGGGCATCGGGGAGGGGTGGAGGGGTGAAGGGAGAGAGAGAGAGAGAGAGAGAGAGAGAGAGAGAGAGAGAGAGAGAG